GCAATTTAAAATCCAGGGGTACTAAATTCAAGTCTCAATCTGTGTGTTTTTACATTTGGGCTTTGCGCCCTTCAATGTATTGAGGGAAAAAATAAATCGATTTGTTTAATTAAATATCTTAATGTTTAACTAAACTGTTTTTTTGTGTTCATATTATTGATCTCTTTTATTTTGTATCCAATCTCTTACTAATAACAATTTATGCAGGAATAAGAGCAAAATTCTTCACCAAGAAAAACAAAGAACAATTTTTCGAAAGCCGGAAAGTAATAATAAATAAGTTGGAATAAAGATTTTCTTGGCGTAGGTCATAAGCAGTTGTATTTCGAAATTATTACACTCAAACAATCAATAATACATTTTAATAACTAAAAATTTTACATATATGAGGTTTCTTAAAATTCGGTATAAGACTTGCTCAACAAAGAAACCGAAGTTTGAATAATATTTTGTAAAACTTAAAAAAAGGCTTTCCTGGAACGTGCGTGATTGTGAAATATGTAAAAAACTGACCCAAGTATCCAAACTCGAAAACAAATCAATGTGTTTTTAATACATTCTGGAAAATTGAAGTTACACCAATGTTTTACCTACACAAGTAATAGTTATTTTTAGAACTTACACAAAAGTTTATCTATTACTATATAGTATAACAGATAAATACATGTGAGTTACTCCTGCATGAGTAGCCAACAACAAGGTTCCTACTGATACTACCAACAAAGACTGACAGAACCAATATTTCCTGGCAGAGTAATTAGAGTATGCACTTAAGTTGACTCCAAGTTAATGTAAATACATATCTATGTTTTATACTAGACCACAGAAATATGGATATATATGTCTAGTAGCTCGGGATAAACCCGAATAGAGAACTGAACCTAATCTTACTACAAATGTAAAAATCTGAGTTGTACTAGCAACACACATCTTGCGTTCTTGGTAAATTAGGAAAATCGCTATTTGCATGGTGAATCTAACTTCTGTTTTGCCGCTTCAGAATTACTTCCTTTAACAATAGTATACAATTTAAAAGCTTATTTCTTGACCGTAAAACGTTTTTTTTTTTTTTTCAACCTTTTTTTAAACGTCATCTTAGGTATTACTTAATCCCAAAGAACTGTGGAACCCGTACCTGAAAAGCGCTATTTAATTTTCTTTCCTTAAGCTCGTAATTAAATGACCTCGCCAGTATGTAATGCAAAAAATGCATTAATTTTTAGGTCTACAAATTATAATCCTAACTCATTCAAGAACCATTGATAAAAATTATATTGAACAAAGGAAGGTTTCTAAATCAGCGTTTACTTGATCTTCATCACATTGTTTGTGAATAAACAGTAAACAAAATTTAAAAATCCTCGTTCCTTGGCAGTGTTTGACACAATATTTTTTCTTCAATCTCAATTTTTTTCCATTATTCTCCAAATAAATATTTCAAATTTACCCGCCCTTAAAAACCACCTGATCTACTTCAACCAATCACTCACAAATTAACTAGTATCAGCTATATGGCCATTAATCTTCTAAGATAGAAAAATAATTAAAGAAACTATTGGAAACGATTAATTTTATACTAAGCTATTGCAACGCCCCTCTCCTCTATTTTTTTTTTTTTTTTTTTTTTTTTTTTTTAAGAAAAACAACTCAAGTTACCTGACAGTGACACTCGCAGCACCCCAAATCATTATATCAATTAACGTAGACTATAGATACGCAACGTCGTTAAAAAAACAAAAGCTATTTCTATTATAGGTTCGCTTAAGTTCTTAGTGCTTGGTCGTATGAATCATGATTTTTTATTCCTCCGTGAAACATTGATTCAGAACATAATCATCTAATTTCTGTGACTTATGTGTTCAGTTACATTGGGGTTATGTGAATGACAAAAGTTGAAATAACTTGTTCAACTTCTCGAGACAGGAAACATGTAAGTGCATTATAGTTTACTCTGTTACGTGGGAAATTGTAAGACTTGTTCTCTCGAGGGTGTAGGTACGAGTACACGAAATTTATATTTTACATTTACCCAATGATTGATAATCATTTGGCACACTATCATGTAACAACAAGATCCATTGATGTTAAAAGTACTACGCATAGATTTAGTTATTCGTCAGATATCTTTCTATACCAATGGAGATTTTTTGAGACACAAAATTTTGGTTTTTGCTTACAGAATTTTATTTACCATTATATATCTTCTTACTTTGATATCGAACAAAAGGGTTCATATTTTTGTTTGCAAAATCAAAAATAGTACATTATTTACCTCGGGAGGAAAAACAAAAAATGCCTCAGATCGCAGACAATTGATAACTGAGCATGCAATCAGAGAAGTTCTTTGTTTCCTCCCGTGGGTTGTATACTATTTTTTATCAGTCCTGTGCCGGGAGAAGGAATTAATAAGTCTGCGAAGCGGGACGAAAGTGTCCTCTTTCGGCTTGTTATGATGAAAAATCACTATGATAAAGTACAGTGGTAACTTTCAATAAATGACTATGAAAATTCATGTTAGAAGTAGTACCGGTACGAGGAAATTCGAAAAATACAGGTAAAAAAATAAGAAATCACGCACCTAGGGAAAAAGTAAACTTAATTCTTCCATGGAAATTTAATTTTTAGTGGAGCAAAAGTATTGTTGCATGGACAAATTTCACAGTAAAAGTAATTTTACTGGAAAGTCCGAGTTTGTTGAGTTATTTTATGATCTAAAAGGTGTAGTATTTTCTTCAAGGCAATTTATCTTTGGATTGTCTCTTGGAATAGTATTTTACATTGAAATATTAAATAACCCGAAATTTTCAGGATAATAAACATCATTTAATAACACAATTAACAACATGTTTCTTCATAAAGTTTCAAATAAGTACTTTTTTCAACAGGACAAGAATTTCTTAAGCAAGCTGTTTTCAACCCCAACTCGTAGAGCTACTGCAAATCAAAGAAGTTAACGACAACAATAAAAATCACAGAGCTGCTATTACGTCAGATGACAAGTTTCCCATATACTCTCGAACAATGGAACCTACTAATCCTCATACAGAAACTTCTAATATTACCACTAGTTTGACATCAAACACCCAAGATGGCAAAGATTACCGCTGCATTACGTGTAACATAACTTTTGGTTGTAAGATTCAACTAGATAATCATGTACAAAATCATGTACGCTGTAATGTGTGCACGCAAACTTTTGTCGATCAGAAGAGTCTCGAGGACCACAGGTTAACACACTTTAGCTGCAAATTGTGCGAAAAAAAATTTGACAGTAAAAATGTACTTTGGAATCACATGGCCGCACATCCTAAGTGTCATTTTTGCTTAACAAGTTTCGCTGATTCTGACCATCTCAACGATCATCTAAGAATGAAAGCTTGTCGAACAAGCACAGAAAACATTGAGTAGCTAAAATAAGCATATTTTTCATTGAGTTGGCTATTTATTGGGATACGATTCAACAATTTAAAGATAACTTACCAAACTTCTAAACAGCATGATACTTTAACTAAAAATTGCCTATGAGGAATGTTTAGTGCAAGATAAATGGGAAAATCATAGCTAGATAATACCACTAGTTTGTTGAATTACATTCGTAATAATTATGTTTAAAATGTATTTCAAATCAATAGTACTGCACTTGGTGTTTGTGACAATAAACTATAAATATGATAAGGAATACTATTCGAAAATAATAAATACGTATACTGTGATCTTCGTGAAAATTTATAGACGTTTGATAATCTTTTATTGAGAATTTGTTTACAACATCATTTTAATGTACACAACCTTTTTTTAAAAAATAATAAACTTAGAAAAAAAAAAAAACAAGTAAGAAAGACAAAAAATTTTGAAAAAATATACGTATAAATGTTTATTTACCAGCTCCTACTTCAAAAACAAAAACATTATCATAAAATTATCATGAGTCTTCTAAACCCGTAATAACAATATCAAGTTACGAGATAAGAACTTTCCTGCAGGGGGTTTGGCCGTAAGCAACAAAATCATCCATTAAACTTCTCCGAGTCGAACTAAAAAAATCAAAATATCTCCCCCCTAAAAATCACAAGATAGTGCGATGCGGCTAAATTCCTAATAATCATGGCTCACGCTGCGCCAGATACATCATCACCACGAGCCCGAAAAAGAACCGTAAAAATAATAAAACCTGGAGAAGAGCACTACAAAAAGCCCAGTCATTTATACCGAAGTCTCGGCCATTACCCATACAAGAGAAGCCGAGAGAAGAAGCTGCGGGGCTGCCCCTGCTGTTACCAGTGCAGCTTCCCCCCCTCCCCCCCATTGCATCTGTAGGCAATAAAACGAGCACCTGATCGCTATCCCTACACCATTATTACAAAGCCGCCCCTTCGCCCGGAGTGCGGTGCATTGCTAGCTGTCATTGTTGCTGCTACATACCTGTCGGCTGGTTTTATTTTTATCCCCCTTCTTTTTGCAATTCCTTAGCACTGCCTCTCGCAGATTCCTAACGATGCTCGCCCCTCTGGGACTGAAAATCCTCGGTTTTTCGAAAATCGCAATTATAGCGATTTTTTCTCTCTCGGTACAGAGACCCGATACACGAGCTCGCTGTAATCATCAGCGGCAAAGCTCGAGCACAACGAAAATCGGTGCACCTTCGATCGGACAGCTCGATCGGGGCACCGTAAATCAAGCGCGCCTCGAGAATTTCGGGGCCCAACGTCTCCTCCCCGACCTACGGGGCCGGATGTGCCGAGGATCCACGATCGCACGGCCCAGATTAATCCTGCCATTTTGTTTCGATGCTAATTCGTGTTCACCCCTTTCTCGCGAATCTCATAAGTATATATATTTTTTCCAAAGCTTCGGATGCCCCATAGCACCCAAAACTTACCTTTGGTGCTTTTTAATTGGCAAGGCGCGATGGGCACAAATAAAACAGTAGATACATTTATAACGACAATGCCGTATAGGCGAGGTAATAAAATAATAGGGAAAAAAAAAGATTCACTTACCGTTAGGAAAAGCAGTCGAGCGCATTCCGGAGCAAGGCGCATTCCTAGCTACGCCGGCTCTTCCGTCAGTCGGTCGCTGCATTTTTCCAGCGTGACGAGCTGGATTACGCAGCCCGAGAGATTTTGCGTCTCCGCGAGCGACGCTGGTTAATTTACGAGGGCAATGGGGGGAGCTCACACGTGTTGCCGATCAGCCAAATTGTGCCCCCGGGCTTATCGATCTCTGCATTATCCTTGCCGATCTCTATACGACACGGCTGTGTGTATACGGGGGTGATTTCCTGTGACGTTGTGCTGTGGATGAATGCGAGTGCACCGGGGGCTTGAAAATAAGTTGGCCCGCGAGTGTCATTTTGTATGGGAGGCTCTAATAAGCCGGTTGGACGATTTATGCGAGAAAGCGCCGTGGACGAGATTCTAATCAAGTTTATGTGTGTACAATTGCACGGACGGAGCTGCAAAAAGTGTGTGACTTGTACTTTGAATGATGGGGAACAATATATATTAAAGAAAACTCTATTTATCCGACCAAAGATCGAGTTGGCGTTCGTAAGGAAGTAAAATGAGCGCGTGCGTGTTTGGTCTCCTTCTCTTTATTTTAGACCCGAAAATTATGGAAGAAAAAATCTCCGGACGTGCAATCATCTAAAATCGCAGGGCAAGTATCATCATGAGTATAAGAGCCTCTTCGATGGGGGATGATTCGCTGCAGCACGTGAGAAGTATCGCACCGTGAAAATTGGCCCCCGTCGAAGTTAGCTCGGGATGCTGCGGATTTTGAAGTGCAAAACAGGACCTCGAGCGTTGGCGGGTCTCCTAATAAATACACACTCGTAGATGCATTGTCGAAAAAACGAGTTTGGTAATTTTTGACGCTTTCAATAACGCGTGCATATGACAGGCACTGATATTCATCGCGGGTCCCATTTTCAATGCTCAGTGGTTTCGGATGTATCTCTCGGGCCGGTGTCCAGAGTTGCAGTAATGCAGTCCACTTCCTCGGGCAGAACTTGTATCTGTAAGCAATCTAGACTGTACTAATTTCATTCCATCGAGTATTGCTCTCTCGACTTTTGGCTGGCGTTATATTGTCCGTTGGACTCGGCACTGGACGTTTTTCTCTGCATAACAGATAAATCGTTTCGTGCCGAGCACGGTGACTTTGCTTGGAAATCTTAATATTTCAAAAAAATGAGCTATGTTTGAGTATGACTTGACCAAGGATGAAAAAATACAGAACGCTCCGATGTACCAGCATGATGAAGTTGACTTTCGGTATTTACGAAATCGAAACTAGCAACAACGTCGGTGCTGATGCGGCGCACGCGGAGGATGTGCTATTCGACGTTAATTTTATGTACATGCCTCTGGTAGATTTTCAGCGTCGGTCGGTGGGTGCCGAGGTAGCTGCGAAATTTTCCGGAAAAATGCAACCGAACCCCGCCGATCATGAAGCGAATGGAGATGCGATCTCCCCCACTGGTACTCACGTGGACGAGAGAGACAGAGATTGTTGCAGATGGCGCATGCATCCTTGCTTCGGTGAAAATCAAGTTATTTGTTTGCCGTTTGGCCACGTGTGGTATCGGAGCAATTTGAAAAACAATTTAATTTAACGCTTCACCGCAAAAGGTTTCTCAGAAAAACGTCAATTAGGACACTGTCCCGCCCTCAAAGTCCCGGGCACCTTCGAACGAGAAAACACAATACATCGCCCGCACGGAATTTCTTTTCTCTCTAGCCGCCACGCAGCAAAAGTGGGCGGATAATCCGAGGAATGCGCACACACGTATACACGCATGGTCGAAAAGGGCGACGGCGAAATTCCCCGTGGATAAAACGAAAATTGGCGCGCGTATCTGTTGGGACTCGAAGCGGCGGAAAGGAAAGGAGGAGAGGGACGCGCCGCAGGATAATTATTTACGTCAGATAGGATCTCTCGGCTTGGGGTCCCGGGGCTCGCGCGCGCTTGGGAAACAAAACGTGCATATTTCTTTTTTTCTCCCCCTCCCTTTTGCTCTTGCTTCGCGAGCCTATATATATACATACGTATATGTACACATGTGAAATCGAAGGTTCGCGTTTCACGTCCGTTTCGGCAGAAGCTTATAGAAAACACGCGTCAGAGGGCACATTTTTTTTTTTATCCCATTCGGTCGCGTATTACATAGCACACTTTTCATAAATTATGAGACCGAGGTGATTTGTGGCTCCTCGGGCGAAGTAAATTTAGTATCGAGTCGGGAAGGTCCTATGGGAACCTTTCGTCCTATCGCGCCTCTCAATCTCATCCTCGAATGGTTATTTTTTTTTCCTTCGCCCCCTCTCTTCCACTTCGTTTTCGACTTTTTCACGTGGATACTCGGTTCGATTTTCCAACCAGCGAGAACCACTGGTGTGCGAGTTTCTGTATTTTTTCTCCCCGGTACAATCAAAAACTCATCCTGGAGATCGAACGAGAAAACGACCGCACCGATCTCGAGCTGCAAGCTTACGGAAGACAGACAAAAATTAGTTGAACAATATTTATAGTTTTCTTGGGAACATCGATACAACAATACACACATACACATATTAATATGAATAGGCAACAAAGTGCGCGCCCCGAGCACCATGTACATCGGATGCAATAGCGCGCGCACGTCAACTTTGGACGATTAACGATCGAGATCGAGAGCTCGAGCTCACAGGTTCTATTGTACCCAGGCCATAAACCCGCGGCTTCTGTGTCGTCTATGGGCAGTAAACTCGTCGCTCTATCGCCTAGTCTCGTTTGGTAGCTGTTGTTAATGTCTTCTATCTCGTGAACAGTAGCCGTCCCCGATCGAGGATCTATCGTAGCTGCTGCTCTTTCACTCAACGGCTCTGCTGGTGAACATTCGGTTCAGCAGGGAAGGGGGAAGGGGTGGGGGTAAAAAGACAGGACGCTCGCAAATCGCGATTTTGCAGCGATCTAAGCCGATTTTACGAGCGAGTGTATCGTAAATCGGGCTCGTAGATTTGCTGGGCTTCGCAAAAATGAGGGCGCTCTTTTTGCAAAGTACCCATTTCATTACACCCCTTCCCCCTACGGATATGAATCACGTGGTACTTTACGACCGGTATAGCTAGATAGTGTAAAATGTACGAATAGCGGCATTTGTTTTATACACGATAAACAGAGCGACGCTAACAAAATGAGTCGTTCCCGTGTCGCGCGCCGCTGGACACGCGCCGGGCCATTATATGGTAATGGGCGCCGTCATAACAGCTTAGAATTATTAAGATACTGAAATCGTGGGCCGTAGGAGCGGGGGGTGCAACCCACGGGGAGCCGGGGTCGTTTGGGACAGGGAAGTAAAGTATATCTCAAGGTGGACGGACGTGACAAATGAGACAAAATAAATAATATAAACAATATCGTACGATCGACAACACTGAAGTACCGATTCAATAGAAGGGCCCGTGAAAACGCGTGTCTCGATTGAGCCATAAATAGGCCGAGCAACCGATTTCTCAGGACGAGCGAAAGTAGGAAGGGAAAGAGCAAAAGATTAAAAGAGAATAGGAGCGCGCACACGCGTCATCGTAGAGCACATCGCGTTAGACCGCACAGGGGGGAGGGAGGCAGGAAATTTCAAGAATTTGCACCGAGAGCCACTGGGACGCACGTCCGGATGACTGACGCGAATCGTTATTATACCCGAGCGCATTGCCTGCACCACTAAACTGCCATATACATTATAATACATTCGCGTCCCTTTTTCTCTCCCCCTCCCCCCTACACTTGCGTTTAACCATATCTCGTTCCTTGTAATGCACATGCCTATCTTTCTCCCTCACCCCCTTCCTCCGACCACCTGTTGCTCGAAATCAGGTTGCAGTACGTGTGGGTACTCGTCTAAAAGTACCTGCAATGGTTGGCTTTGAACGAAATTTATTCCCGATAACGAAGGGGTAAAAATAATAGTGGAAAAAAGAAAGCGGAGTGAAATAATCAATTGGGCGCAGCGCTTGTATCGAGCCGACGATCCGACCAATTACGCGGTGGCGATTCTACACGTGTATATTTATACAAAAACCATATAACGAGTACACCCCAGCCGAATATACGTATAGTTACGGCACGGGACGTATATCGTCGATCTCCCCGGGCTTTGGCGAAAGTATCCGTAAATCGACCGCCGAAGCTCATAGATACCCCCCCAGCCCCTTAATAAAAGTGGCTGCGGCGTGCACGGGGCGGAACCGCGAACAAAAGGATTCCTCGGCGGCTGCTCGCGTTTCTCGTGCGATGGAGCTCCCGCATGTGGCATCGAAAACTCGCGGGAGAGAGGGAACCGAAGGGGAGAGAGAGAGAGAGAAAGGGGAAAATAAAAAGAGCCGGATTCCGAGCGCTCCCCGGGTCCTATATCCTTGTAAAACAACTTGTAAAACGAGCGACGGGGCCCCCGGATCTTTTTTCTCACACGCGCGTACGTGTAGTGTCCGAGGGCGTCCGTGTGCGAGAGTACTGTCTCCAGAGGAGGAGGGCCTCTTTCTTCTCCTCTCGGCCATATATATATGTACCGGCCGTGCAGTTTGGCCGCCAAGTCGCGGGCAGATTTATCGGATGCGGGCAGGATGGCCCTTGATTCGCTCGCGGGGAAGCGTCGAGTCCGAGTTTGTATTGTACGTCACAGGTAAACTGTCGCGCCCTTTTTTCTTCCTCACTTGTTTTTTTCATTTATCTTCGGCCCAAAAAGTACACCCCGTACCGAGGCCCGGAGGAGGATATATCGTCCCTTTGGATCTATTAGCCGCGAACAAAAAAAAAAAAAAAAAAACCAACCAGTCTGCTCTTTTGTTCTCTCTTGGCGTATACATGGTGTACGTGCGCGCACGATACCTGGCCCGGGAGAGTGGAATAAATTGCCGGTGACCTTCCTTGGGGCGCTCGTTTTCGGCGCACGAGAGGGAAAAGAGGAAGAAAAAAGAAAGGAGAGGCTGATTTACATAAGTACGGTGCGAACCACGCGCTTACACCTCCGGTCCCTGTACGGCGTTGCACATTGTATATGTGTAGATACGGTATCAATTTTCCGCGAGTTCACCCACGCC